TGGCAAAAACAGTCGCCTGCCACACAAAGTCTTCAAAATATTTCTTATTTTGACAACTCAGTTTTTCAAACAGATTGATTCCCACTCATAATAGTAAGCACTAAATTCTCAGAAATATTATTGCATTGAAACTAAAACATTTTTGTCAGGTTGTGATTCAAAATATTTTACCATCTCCTATTTAAATCATACACACGCATACATGGTCATTGAAAAACGGACAACGTGTTTTATTCATTAAAGAAACTTCCTGATAATGAAATGTATTCAACAGCATCAATATTTATTAAATGAATAAAAAATATTTGAATCATATTCTGCGACTGAAATTTATAAATGGCAACGCTGCATACACAGATCTGTTTGTGGGGTGGATAAAATGACGGCAGATTGAATTTGCCCTAAGATAGAGGCAGATATGAATAATGGTCCATCAGCTGAGCGCATTTATTTAAACATTCATGAGTGTAACATTCGTTATATAATACTTATAGTAAATATTGATTTTTTGCTTCGATCTGTTATTATGATTTAGCTTCAAAAATTCAGGTTTGTTTCAACACTGATGACAGTTTTGGAATTTCTGTAATGAAAATTCTAAAATTGAAAATACCCTTTTTGATAATATAATAAATAACGATTTTTTTTATAATACCTACCCTAGATAAACTTAAAAGATGAATTTATTTCAATCCTAAGAAGTTATAATGCAGTCGATGTCACAATATAGGGTACCTACATTTCTAGGAAAAGGATTAACAGTACATAAAAAGAAATTTTCTATCAGGATTTGTTCGAGGAATGAAAAAACGAAAATAACATTATAAATTAGTTTAATTTCGTGCTGTGAACTGTGAGCAATATGTAAAGTGAAAGCAGTCAAAGCAAACGCAGAAGAAAAAAACTATTCCGTGAACGAAATCGAAATATGTTGCATAACGATGTAGTTAATCTGTGTAGTGATTCAACTGAAGTGTCGACGAGAAGTGTTCACAGAATTCCTCAAACCTTCAAGAAAATAAAGGTCAATGCGATAATCTATCTAAAGACATTGAAACTGAAGGAAGAAAACAAATTCTGCTTGATGATTGTACCGAATATGCTATTTGTTTTGGTTTGCTAAAAGTTTATTAAAAACTATATCTACATTTATGTGTGGAATTATAAAACCACAACAATAAAAATTAATTGGCGCTCCGGGGCGACGCAATTCATTCCAGTGGCGCATTTGCTTTTTCAGCTGCAGGAAAACCCGGAAAAACCTGCAGCACCACATCATCTGAAGATCTTGATCTGCCAATGTCCTCTCACTCATAAAGCAAAATATAGGGTGTCTCCAGAAGCTCCAATAAATTCAATACATCACCAGAACACTTCGTGGAATTTTTTTTTCCGAAATGAAATCCCAACCTTAAAAAAAAATCGCAGTTGAAATAAATTCCGATGAATCGGTGCCCAAAATATCACGACGTATTTTATTGCGCACATTAAAGCAAATGAACATTGAATTTATGAAAAGAGATAGGAATCGTGCTCTTATAAAAAGAAAAGAAATTGTTTTGTGGTAGAAAAATTACTTGAAAAAAATCTTGAAGATGAAAAGATTTAATATTCAGATGAGAATTTGCGATTATCTGCAGAATTTCACAACAAATCAAATTGACTCTACGTGGTCTATTTTACATAAATTAGATGCAAACTTTTTTTAAAACGACTTTCTTGATTTTTTGTAAAATGCTGCAAATAATCGTAAAAACGAAATGATTAAACTAAATGTAAAAATTGGAAGTTTGATCTGAAAATTTCAATTCATGCCTTATTTCAGATCACAAACAGCATTCATCATTTCACAAAACTCATGAAACGTTTTCACGTTTCATTACTTTACTAACACCCGGTACATCAAATCTCAGATTTTTTTCATGTCAGTCTCATTTCCATAAGATGCAAATTTTTTATAAGAATTACTTTTTGTCATGAAATTATTAATAAATTTACTCCATCCGTGGGCACACTGTATTTTTCCTTTATATAATTATTACCTATAATTTAATTATTATTTCAAATACTAGCAACACAATTGAAATTAATTTTCCTCATCTGTTTAGTATATTTCCCTTACGCCACTGAAAGAGACAGAGTAAGGCAAAAACGTCACAGTCATTTCTGAGCTATAGTGTGGGATTCTCGGCCATAGAGCCACACGGTGATTACATAGCCCACTGATATCTCTCGTTACGACTCTGTAGAATCGGTATCTGCCGGAAGGGAGCTAAGGACCCGTTGAATGCACGCCCGATTAGATTTTCGGCGCATTTAGAAAGTCACTCAGATCTGACTTTGTGAACAGAAATTGAAAAAAAAATATATTGTGGACAGGGACAAAAACTCCGACGAACTTTTGAATATTCCACTTCCGTAGTTAGGGTCGAAGGACGATCGTTATCCGTTATTTAGTTGTTTGCGTTAGGAGTTTTTGCGGTCGCATTTCGGGAGTTCTCGTCGTATTGTTATGGTCATCGTAAAGTATGAACTCATGAATAAAAAATCCGAAGGTTCGCCACCGAGGAGAACGAGATTGGAGCTATGAAACATATTTTTGGAATCGGTTGACAGTTGGAATTGTTACGATAGTTTTGCGGATCCGATATGGGGATCCAAAATGAACAAGTTCAGATTCGAAATCTGTTTGAAACCGATAAGCTCTGTGGCCAGCATGATCGATAGAAATAAATACATATATTAGTTGAAATTTTGATATCAAAAGTATACGAAAATAAGTTGTACAGGATGTATCACATCAAGCTTGCATTGAATATTTGAGGTGGAGAGAACTTATCGGAAAATATTTTTCACATTTCAGTGCATTGGGACTTTTTGAAAACTTTCACTAAATACTTGGTAGTAGAAACGTGTCTCATCAAAGTTATGTTCAATCTATAACGAGTTGTGGTATGATGCTTTCTATATTCATATTTTAGCAGAAAAAAGTAATTTTTGAAAATATAATATTCTACTTTCTTTGATGAAAAAAATAAGTTCAAAATTATGTTTTGTTATGGGAACGATAAAAAAATATAATTTCTCGTTATTTTTTTGTATACTTTAAACAAGGCAGGTCATTTTGAAAGGGGTATATTTTCAGAAGAGATATATTTTATTTGGAAAACAATGGTTTTGGCTTTCTATGTCTCGATCTATATAAAAAAAAATATGGAAATCTATTAAAGGAAAGGAGAAAGCAATCAATATCCAGTATGATGGGATGAATTGTGTGTTCAAAGTGTGTTCATAAAAAAAATCAAACGACATTATTGAAATCGAGTTAAACCTCCTTTCATCCTCAGATACACTCTAATTTTTAAATAGCAGATAATATTAATGACAACCAAAATATTTTTCAATTATTTTCGGTCTTGATGAATAGATCGAGAACCTCTGGTTCTTTTGTGAACTCTTCTTTCATAATCAGGAAATAATTCTAATTTGGTTAGTGAAACATATGTCGAAAGATAAGATTTTTTGTCAGTTGTGGGAAAAAAGTTTTCGATATATTCCCTCTGTTAATACTGAAGTTGACTTTGAAGTAAAAAAATCGGAATGATATCAGAAAATCGCTCATTCACTTGGTTATTTGATTAGCTGATATTGACATAGCTGAAAGATGGATTGTAGTGTTTTTAAGACCAAGAATGATTTACACCTCAGCTAGATGAAGTACCGGAAATAATGTAGGAACTGATGATGAATGTGAAGAATATACTGAATCAAGCAAGTAGAATAATAATAGGGGAGAGGGTGGAGGATTTGAACAGTTTTATTGTCGAGGTCAATAAGTTAGTCAGCTTTTTATTTATATTCATTAAACCTTGTAGAAACCGTAACTTGATTATTTTTTATTGATCTTTTGTAGGTAACATCAATATAAAACATCAAACAAAATCAGAGGAATCCATTTTATTCTATTACCATATCTGTTCAAAGGCTCCTGTTGGTGAGGAGCATTTGAACAGACTAGGAGTTGCATTTGAACAGACTATGGGGAGCATTTGAATGCAACTAAAAGCTATACAATAAAGTAATAAACGAAATAATACATAAACCCTTCAAACAATACTTGTGCGAAAAAGCTAAATTTAGCGCATACTGTACATAGAGAAGTCAAAATTGTGGAATACATATATTTTTGCGGCCCTTATTGTACCACCACTAACTGAAGGTTTTCGTAATTTTATTATTACATCATCTATACTGACAAGTGATTTGTCTGCAGTTTCAGGAAACGAAAACGTGTTTCCGGTTTTCTTTAAAAAGTTTACAAACAAATCTGTTTCAAATTTATCTTCAACCTGGGCAACATAGTGAATTATAGACTTTTTGGTACATAATTTACCTAATACAAAATATTTGCACTTAATTTCAGCATTTGAAAGTTGCTCGATATCACTGAAAGATTCTTCACCATAAGAACTATTATGAACAGATATATTTGGACTAGTACTATCTGAACTGCTTGACGAATCACTTACCAGTATCTTACGTTTTACAGATTTTTGTTTCATGTTTGTAAACGAAGTGTTTTCAGATAATGCGGAAACAATGCGATCTTCTAATTTGGGATTCTTTTTTTTTAATATGCATTACTGTTTTACCAGCTTCCATATTTTTATTTTGACGTTTCACATTTTTCATTAATTTGGTTGATATTCGTTGAATCAATTCCTCTTCAAGTTGATTTTCAACAGGAGTATCGGTTAATATTTTCGAAGTTCCTTTTTTCTTTCCTTGTTTCTGTTTACGTTGTTCAGTTACTTTGGGAAACGGTTTTATAGATTCTGGTGTGATCATTGTCGTGTTTTTGGAACAACCTGCTTGCATATTTGATAAAGAAATAGCGGGATCATTTGTAGTGTTATTTGTGACTACATTAGTCACATCTATCAAAGGTCGATCTGTAACGTACGATGCATTAAAATCTTCGTAGGTAAAAGCATTTCTATTTACTGGCCAAATACTAGGTTTTTAAAAGCTTTTTTTATATTATTTATAGTAAATGATCTTGCATATGCAATGCCTACAATTTCTGCAATATTGTGGATGGTAATGGTTCTACCGGGATGGTTTAGCATCCAGTCGTTACAGGCCACTTTGAATTTTGCCTTAAAAGGACCCAAAACACCAACATCTAAAGGCTGCAATCTATGGGAGCAATGAGGCGGGAAAGTTAGAAGAACGATTCCATTTTCTTTGGAAAATACAATAGCTTCCAATGAGCAGTGTGACTCGTGGTTGTCCATCAGTAACAAGATGGGGTCGTCTCTTGAACATCTTGAATATTTTTTTAAATGTTCCAGTACCTTTAGAAAAATATTAGCTGTCATCCAGCCACTTTCTGGAGAATTTGGATAACCCACACTTCCACTTGGTGCACCTGTCAATAACGAATCAATCATTCTTGCCCTGGGATAAACGAAAACGGGTGGAATTGGATTACCACTACCCGAGATAATTGCACACATTGTAACTAGTTTTCCCCTTTCTCCGGATACCACTTGTCCAACTTGTTTAATCACTCTTGCAGCAATAATATAAGGAGCTTGAACTACAGTCATAACACCTGTTTCATCCAGGTTATAGATTCGCTCTTCGGTGAAACTGAATTTTTCCATAACTTTGCAATAGTTATTTTGAAAAGCGTCAACATTTGTTTTATTGAAACTAGTTGCTCGAGACAAACTAGTATTTTCGGGTTTCCGAAGGCTTAGTTCTTCGTGTCTCCGCATGTAGCCTTTCATCCATTCTATCCCCGCCATTTTATCTCGATTCCAGGAATTGCGTAATGTTTTATTTAATTTCAATGCATATTCGTATGCTAATTTTCTTGTTAGCACATATGTCAAACCATAATTGATTTTAGAGCTCTTTAGAAGGTACATTTTTAGTAGATACTCTTCATCAGAGTTGAATATTTTGTTTATGTTATATTTTTCTGCATAATCTATATTTTTATCCTTGTTCTTTATTCTATAAAATGAAGCAGTGTGTCTTATGTGATTTTTTTCAGCAGCTCTTCTCAAAGATAATTTATGCTCAGTAACATCTTTGATGGCTTGTTCCATATCTGCCTCGTTCAAGTCCGTCTTCGTGCCTTTCTTTTTATATATTCGTGGCATTTCACTTATAGGCTATTGCCCTGAAACAATGAATAGGCTCTAATAAATAAATAATATGTTGCAATACTTTATTAATTTATTTATTAATAATCGTACCCAAACGAGTGCATAATAAGTAGTTATTAATATAGTATTGGGGAGGCTTTGAACACTGTTCGAAGCCTACCCACTAGAGAAGTTCAAACCCTACCCAGCACACCATCTTGTTATTTCATTAATTCATCTTGGAACATATTATATAATTCAAAATGTGGAACAGACTTTTTTTTCATCCAAGAAACACTTTATTGTGAGTTTCACCGTTTCACCAAACGCAACATGTGTGTTGTAGTATCAAGTAGTATACGTGTCAAGTATCTAGTATACATAGACACGTAATGAATTTTTATCAAGTATCAGCCGATTCCATCACATAGATTTCCTATTTATTTTCATATTATTGAAATCTATCAATTGCTCCTTCTCAATTTGTCTATTGAAACTTAATAGGCATCATTATACCTTAATGTCATTCATTAAATAAAACTCTCCAGAATGTATTATTAAACATGCATTCATTGTATTGTTATGAAAGAGATTATTAATATTTCGTTAAAATAAAACTGTATACAAAATACCGCAAGCCGTCATGATATCTTGAAAGTCAATCAGAGCGAATTACGTTAGAGTTATAGAGTGAACAAACGAATATGACATCTTCAATTCAATTCAAAATAAACTTCATTATCTGACATGTTCTAAAAAATTTGTTACTTGTGTGATGCAATGTTTGCTGACTCCTGAACTGTAACTATTGATAACTTTATATTTTTTATTCCACTTTGTGCATTTGACTTATCTTATTTGTATTACTATTGTACATCTAAAAGATTAATAAATTTATCTATCTATCTAGCTATCTGAAGAATGAATTCTTATTGAAAAAGCCTTGTGCGAAATATAAAAACCATATAAATGAAATCACAAAAGTAAAATCACTAAGAGAAGATAATAACATGAACTGAAAAGGAACATGTATATAAGAATAACCTAATACAAACGTTCAGTATAAATGATTATGGTCAATAAAATGAAATAAATCAATTCAAATTAAATATAATCAAATCAATGAAATTCCGTAGATATTACAACTGTGACTAACTAGTCATACTCAATTAAAATTATCACTCTAGAATTCTGCTAAGCTATAATAAGGTCTCACAAAAAGCAAGTCTCTCAACTCTTTCTTGAGTTCATTTATGGTTCTTATAGATTGAGGAAGGTGATTGGACATTTTGAGACCGTTGTAAATAATGGAATCTTCAACTAGGGTCGAAGAAGGCAGCGGTAATTTGAAGCTGAATCTCAGCCTGATTTGATAGATTGGCTTTGCATATGTATCATATTGCACGTTTTTGTATCAGTAATACTGATGGCATGTGGTAGAACACACACCCGAAAAGCATATACTATAACGAAGATAGGATTCAAAAAGGAAATGATGAATCATTTTAGCTACTGCCGATCCGACCTCAAAATGCACTTACTTGTATTGCATAACACCAAGAGGAGAGCTTGGATTTCAAACTATATACTTGTTTGTTGAATTTTAAACTATTGTCAATGAACAAGCCAAGGAATTGAGTAGTTGGTACGTTGTCAATTTGAATATTATTCAGGTATACGGCTGGAATCTGGCAATGATAGGACACTACTTTTGTTTTTGATAAATTCCAGCTCAAGAGATTTGAGTCAAACCACTCTTTCACTTCAGTGATGTCATTCTCAATAATTTCATACAACATATGGTTGTTAGGAGCATGCCATAAAATTGTGGTAGCATCACCAAATAAAGTAAATTTTCCCTGGATGTTAATAGACGATAGGTCATTAATGTAAATTAAGAATGAAAGTGGGGCCAGCACCGAACCTTGTGTGAATCTGCAAGTAATTTTACCTTCATTTGAGTATGAATTAGTTTTGACCATCTGGGTGCGATCTGCTAAGCATGACTCAAACCAATTAGGGCTTATTTTAGTTATATCATATCTACTGATATGATATAACTATGATTCACACAATCAAATGCTTTGACTATATCACAGAAAACCGCAGCCAGTGTTTCTTTGTCATTTTTGTTGGAATAAACATTGTGAAGAAATGAAAGTATGGCATCGTTTTTTTTTGCTTTTGGAAACCAAACTGGCAATCACTCATTATTTTGTTTTCATTCAGAAAGCAAAGGAGTCTTGTTTTAACTAATTTTTCTATCAATTCAGCCATTGCAGGGATTACAGAAATTGAATGAAGACTTGATGGATCATTGATGAATTCTTTTGATTTGTTCGTAGCTTTATCTATTCTACTTTTATAATATTTGCTTTCTGCTAGTTTGACTACATTTCTGTAAATAGTGCGATAGCGAAGGAAGTAATCAAGGAAAAATGGAACAGATGTAAATTTTCTCAAGTATTGAACACCCTCATGTTTTCTGCCAAAACCCTAATACCTTTTGTCAACCAATTTTTGTTTTTGTGTCTGAAATTAATTTTTTGAGCCGGAAAGCTTTCAAACAGTAATACTAGATGATAGTTTTTTCTCATTTTATTTACGAACTAATAATGTTCACAATGCCAGATTTTTCACGAAAGCAAACAGTGGTAATATGTCTAGAATCGACTAATTGATTTTAGCATCAAACAAAGACTTTCGTTCGGCAGAATTTAGAAATGCTGAAACTTCCATGGAGGTACAATAATAATCTTTCTAAAACAAATGATGAAAACAAGTCCAAATCTTTCGAAAGGTACTTGCTTTCTAAATACTTTTTCTGAAACTACGTACTTACTCTACATTTACACAATGATTCATTCATTTTACATTCTCCAGGGCATCTTATGGCAACGATGATGCAATGAGTTACGCCAAGGAAATCTGTGTACTGAAAGGTAACATATACAAGACACGAGAGATGAAATCTAATCACAAAAAAGTGTGTTTATTATTGAATATATGAAGTCCTCGGCCAAGATAATACTGGTTAATAATCTACAAATGTTGGGAACACTAATGTTAAAATATTTACAAAAATAATGCTGAATACTGGGCAATATTTCTGTTGAACTTATAAATTGAATTGTATTTTTTTAATATGATATACGTTGTGAATGTAATATATTTCTCAACATTATAGAATAGTAGTTCAAAATATGTCATTCTGCCTATTCTCAATTTATTGGAAATTGCAGACATTCTTTTCTGTATCATTTACAATATTCAAATCATTTTTGATACTCCAGTGAAGACATAATGAAAAGTGAGTTGAGGGCAGTAATGAAAAAGTACATACGACATGAAATATGACAAAAATACTGCGCTTTTCTGTATATTCAAATATTCGATCAAAAGTGTCACATCCAACAAAAATGTAATATCTCTTTCTGTGAATATTTCCGCATGTAGTACACAGTAACAGAATTCAACCTGAAGAGAATAATACCAATCATAAATTTAATGCCAGAAATGCAAGAGACGTGACTTTCAGCAAGATACGGCCAAGATACGGCCAAAGATGTGAAACACAACAGTATAACTCATACCTTGTATGAATTCGGCGAGCTTACAGAATCCATAAAGGGAGACAATAAAGCCAGAGCGGCCACGAAACGCTTGAATGTATTTCTGATAGGAAAGCGATTCAATATATTTATGATTCTTCCAGGTAATCCAGAGAGAGCGTTCAGAATATAAGTTAATAAATGATATTCAACTGGATATATGATGAAGTCATCAGACAGTTCTATATTTTGATTATATTATAATAATAATAATATTTATTCACGTAAGAAACACGAATAGAGAACAATGTAGTAAGAAGATAAAGGTAAATAAATGAATACTGGATAAGTGTTTTTCAGACTTGTTTCGAGAAATTACAATGCAATAAAACTTATAAATAATAAACATACTGAATGTCAATTGCGGAGATATGAAAAAATCCGGTGACTATCTATGTTTTTACCTCTTTTATTGGTAACTAACGTTACTGCAGTTTCGTCATATAAGGACATTTTCAAACTTATACATTAAACTTCAATGAGGACCTATAGAGAAGAATGTCGACTAATCATTTAAATGAAACATATATTCACGCTACACACACACACACACACACACATCTTTGTACCTAATACTTACATTAGATGGAAATTGAATTGTAATACAGGTGATTATCACAACGAAATTAATTTTGATAATTATGAGGAATTGGTATTTGAACAGTTGATTCACAATTTGCCGTTGAGAAGCTTTATGGTGAACGATGATGCACCATTATATAATAAACAAATCAACGAAATGCCAATGACATTGACCAAAAAAGCCAATATGCAGTCATGGTTGTCAAAGACGACAATTTTATTTGAAAGAAACATGCTGAAACCTAAATTATATGCCCTCACGAACAACTTTAAGCCAAAATTTAAGCGGTATGAAATAGATCAGCTTTTTTCACCAGC